AAGTAATACAAAAGCAGTATAGGAATTTCTTTTCTTAATACCCAACCGAAGAGCTGAGGGGACGTACAATGATTAACATAAAATGGGTGCCTTGAATTATTTTGCTTTACATGCAGTTTCCTTATATATGTAAAACAAAATAAACTTTCACCCATTCCAAGATTTCAAGAACTCACAGAGAGAGAGAGAAATATCTATAAAAAATTTTATTGCTGTCTGACTGATTGCTTCGAGAACGTCTTCCAACTCAAGCTTTCAAGCTTCAAGCTATTCAAATACGAACGCTTCTCAGCAAAGCCATTTGGACCGCATCTGCTTTGTTAAAGAAAACCTTTTGGGGGTAAAATCATCCACTTCATCGGGTTTTTCAAACAAAGCAGTCAGTGGTCCTTTTACTACCTGCTGACCTAGAGAAATTTCTCAGAAACTTTTGTTCGAAAAAAACGAGTTTTATATTTTTAAGAATTTCCATTCTGACAGCAAGATTTTGACTAATTTGTTTTTAATAAAGAAGAAAAAAATTAATAAGCTTATTTAAATTTTTTACGCAGCACCGAGTAAGGAGACGAAATTTAATTTTCTTTATAAATATTTTTCTCAGACAATACTTTAGTGTTTTTCAAATTACGAGAATAGTGCGTTAGTGCATGCATTTTCAAATCAGATTTATTTAATTAATATATATGGATATGCCGAATAAGCACACTTTCGCACACATACACTGTAAATTAGTACATACATAAAAATGAAATAAAATTTGAAAACAAGCAATTTAAAAATTACTGTATTGAAAAATTATTCAAAATTTGTTTTTACCTCATTTTTTTTTTTTCGTTATATACATTTACTTCAGTTTTTTTTATATGCATTTACTTAATTTTATTTTCTTATATGCATTTACTTAATTTTATTTTGTTATATGCATCTGTTAGTCTTTTTGAAAAATTTTTAGATTTCTTGAGTATGGTAAAGGAAACGAGACCTATCAGCCGAAGGCAATGAATGTCTCCATGGACGACTTTCTAAGTAAAACGTACTCATGTTCATGTTACACATAGGGGAAATCACAAAATTCAACCAGTTCGTTTGTTTGGGTTCGAATATGAGTCGAAATAGCGATAATCAGATATCTTAGCCAGGAGGCCATTGATTGGGTTTGTCAGATTTGGAAACCTAATAAATAGTATTAATAAATATAATATTATTAAACGAATCAGATTTATATAAACCAAATAAAATTCTTATATCGAACACAACTAAAACTCGATATAACTTACACTGATAAACTGATGTGTAATAACACTGATAAATTAAAATACTAAACGGAATATACATTAATTCTACATAGATAATTTTTTGTAATGTATTTCGCTGGGAATGTCTGGCCGCAAAATCCTGATTATATATACCCTTATTTTAAGGTTGTCACATATCTGATGGTTTGACTTTTACCTCAAAACACAAAGAATCCACAAAATTCAGTAAAATTAATAACTTTACTTCCATGTTGAAAATTCTCTGAATCTTTTCAAATATAAAAGCACACGCGCCAAGCAGTTTGCTTTAAATAAATATATGCAACAACGAGAAGATGCGCTTTTGACAGCAACTCGTTTCGAAAATCGAAACTTTTTCTAAATGTAAGAGATTTGTCGCTTAAATTAATTTTTCATTAAATAAAAAAACAAAATAGAATCGCATATTATTAAAAGAATTTTATTGATAATTCAGATTCTGAAAACAAGTACATTGTTGTTATAAAAAACAAAGAAAAAATAAACAACATACTTCATTCAACGGGGGCCAACTTTGGCGCATAAACATTTTTAACATAAAAATATTTGAAGCATGTTATGGATAAAGGTTTTATTTGGTTATGGCAAAGTTCTCGATGGTTATTTGCCTAAGGTGAAGGATGCCTTCGTTCGAGGACTGCCTAACGGAAATTGGCTCATGCAAATACATGTTACACATATGGAAAAACTAAGAATATCATCCTGGCAACCAGCCCGTTTGCCGGGATTCGAACCCCGGACATGAAACCACCAGTTGTTCCGTTTAGACTCCGCTCAGTCGCTGGTGGGCTGTGTCAGATAACGGAAAAAGTTCAAAATTTCATATTAGAGGAAAAGTGGTAGCATAGTATAATTCGAAATGTTATTGCCATTTCAGTAATGTGAAGAGATTTCAAGAATGTTTAATTATTTTATTTAGCTTATGACAAACTAAATAAAATAATTAAACATTCTTGAAATCGCTTCTCTTAACATACTGGTAGTTTGACCTGCATTCAAACCCCTGTGAACAAGCTGATTGCATGGGCGTTTTTATGGTTTTAACTTTTTGTAGTGCGAGATTGTTTCCCTTAGAAAATCTGTCACGAAAGCATACCTTCCCTTAGACAGATCGCCTTCACGTGCTTAACTCTTTCGCATCGAGAGACGACCAAATCTGTTTTCATCAAACATCGAAAACGCCCGTGTTTACGAATTTGTCTTGGAATAGTTTTCCTTTCCCCCTGCCTAATAAATAGCTACAGCATTAACAATAACCTACTTAAGTGAAATGACTGTTTCTCTCATGGGGGTTTTTCAGCGGTTTCATCCATTGTGTGCAGTTTCACCTTAGAGCCAGATTGCACCTGCGAACGTTAATAGCTTTCCGTATGTCTCCTTTAGTTGCTTCAAAAGAATGATTGACATGTCTCTTAACTACTCGCGAAACCAATGAGCCATACACTAACGTGGAGAGGGAAAGCACTAGGTAGAAAATAAACGAGGCGTTGAGGCGGTTTGCCGTTGCCTGAATGAACGGGCGTTACGGGCGGCTTCGATGCGAAAGAGTTAATAATCTAACAAGCCAAACCAAACACAATCCAAGCGAGGACTCGTAGTCAAGGCACGTCATCATGAAAAGCTAACTAAAATTGGCTCATATTCACATTAAACATGGGCAGCAAAAATTCGCTAAAACTGGTATGCAGGCAATCCATTCGTCAGGATTTGAACCCGCTTCAAACTATTAGTATTCAACGATTTTATCGCTACTTCGTTGGCGGCCTTTTGCAGTATCTATAAGAAAAGTAATCGCAAAGACACAATCATTGCGTACCGACGGATGAAGTAAGTTCGGAATTTAAAGAATAACTTTCATTCGTGCTATTGCTGTTAGCATTCACATTTGGACAGATGTTAATTTATTTTTTAAATTCTTTTAATGTAATTAATTCATATCTTTAAATAATTGATCATCTGACTGTAATTTTTTGTGCGGAGTATATCTAACCCTTCCGTACACTAACTGTTTTAATTCATTTACACTCCATTAATTTTAAGAGATTTTATATCGATAGATTTCTTTCCAAAAATGTTTCAAGGATTACATATTTTTTCTTTAGATTCCAAAACATTTTGGATTTAAAATCTTAATAATAAAATTTTTAAAACAAATATTTCTAGAAATTCCTTCGGCGTATTCATTTATTCCATTTAGTTGAAGTTTCGAGTAGAATATCTTCTTCTTTCAACATTCATATAATTTTTATATGTCAGTTCGCCATTTCTACGGAGCATAGAGCCCACATACTACGAGTACAAAACTCAGGCATGCTGAAAGCACAGTTTTAACATTTAAGAATGTAAAAAGAAGAATATACCATTATAATAACGCGCATTTGAAATACGAAGGCAAACAAGAAAGCTGGTTGCAACATTTTATATTTTTTCCTGACGAATCAGAAATTGTAATCATTTTTCAATACAAAAATAAAGTATTTGATTCTATAATATATAGGCATAAAGGCGTCCTCTGTTACAATTCTTATTTTTTCTTGTTTCTTCTAAAATTCGGCAATGTACTATAACAACGTCGGATCCTGTTTGACTTTCATTTGTATAAAGTACCAAAAGGCGAACAGTTGTAAAACGATTTATCTTCTTTCGCAAACTTTTAGTCGGCACACAGATAATACATACCTGCTGTCTGACAAATATACTTCACTCTAAGGACTTTTTCCTAAAGTGCTCTTTTCAAAAAGACTTCACACCCTATTAAGACCTTTGTGTCAACTGACAGCCGCCTGCAGAAAGGTAGGGGAAGGAAGACCAGATCGCGTCGTCTAAACACGTCTTAAGCAATCTTCGCGAAATTCGGGCTTCGTGTATACACGTCTTAAGCATTTTTCGTGCGATTTGAAATTCGTGTAAAGGCGTCTTAAGCATTTTTAAAGAATTCCAAAAACGTTCAAACACGTCTTAAGCAGTTAAAGAGTTAAAAAGGCCATTAGCATTCCATGAAAGAATTTTGATGTTTCTCAGATTAAGAATAGCTGCTTTTACGATATTTTCTGAGTTGTGGAAAATTCTACCACTTATTTCTATGCAAAGTTATCTGCCATCAACTTTTTGCCTAACGTTTATTTCAAGCGGCGGCAATCCCGCCTTGGAAAATTTTCAGTGCCCACTCATGATATGGAGTAATACTGTATTTCATCAACAGAGTACCTTGTGCAAGTAACCGTTTTGGTTATATATTGAAAAGCATAAAATGTTTCGTTTACTTAGCATATAGACTATCATATTTATACTCTTTAATTTTTTTTTAGTGAATTAAAAAGGAAAACTTGTAAAAGGTGCAGTGTATTGGCGCTCCAGATTTTAGTAACAATATTCTAGGTACTTAATGAGCAGTTCTAGGTACAATATCAAACCATCAGCAAAATCTTGGGTAAAAAAAATACAGAATAGTTTAATACAGCTGAATTTATTTCATATATGCATTTGTTTTATGATATTATAAATCGTTTTGTAGATATGATATAATAATTTTAGTTAACTAATTCCTTTATCAAAATAACGAAAAATAATCGTGGAATGGTTTATGTTTTGTAGTTGTTATATTATACAAGAAGAAAAGACTAATGAATAGAAAAACAATTTATTAAAATTAATAAAGCATCCAGCTGCTATGGATGTTTCAAATATCTGGCAACGAGTCAACTAGTAAAACGCCATAATTTGTGTTTTCGGGTTATATGTAAGTTTGTTTGTGTGAATGTTTACTAGGTATGCTGAAATGTTTAGTTGCGGTTGAAGACCTAACTTTGAAACCAAAGTACTTAAACGAGGTGAGAGAGTAAATTTTTATATCTCTTTTACTAGTTTCTACTTATTTTCATTAATATTAAGTCGGCAGATGCGCAATGTTCTCCCGTAAGTCACAAATTGTAATGACAATTTTATTTTTTAAATGATAGCAGTTTGTGCATTTGTGTTGCATTAATCAATACTTCACCATTAAATGCATATGAGTTACAGTCTTACATTATGCTTATTCATCGTATTTTTTGTTGTAAGCCGAATAATGTATTTCTTGGTTAACTTATCTGAAAAGAAGTGACAAGTATGCTTTGTACGATGTTCAGTTTGTAAAAATTGGTAAAATATCGTGATAATATGGAGACTGTAATTTGCTGTTTTTGCTGTAATTAGCTGTTTGTTATTTTTAACCCCGTAAACGTGATTTGAAATTATACTCTTATCTAACTATATATTTTAGTGGATATGTGATCAGTGCCGTATTAACGCATGGGGATTGCCCAGTGGCCCCGCATATATCGAAACCCATATTTTTTAAAATTAATTTTTATTCTTGAAAGAATTGATTTAGGTAAAGGCCATGATTAAGATATATTTTCCCTTGGAGAGGACTGACATACAGGTTCCATGAATGAAGTAGTTAATGTGTTTTATGCCGCATCATCGTTGTGTGCAAACACACTTGAAAACAAATCAGTATACATAAATTCAGAGTCTCTACTGTCTTAAAAAAATTTAGTTATTATCTCATATTATGAAATATGTAATTAATTTTAAATTTTACATTCGTGTCTGAGAATTTAACTATTAGAATTTGAATTAGACTTTAATTCCTGATTTGCATTTAGAAAATATTTTTCCACCACATTTTCGCTATACCAGTGAAATGGGAATTTTATTATTAATTTGGTTTCCAGTGCCAGCCTATGTGGGCACTGTTGCTATTTTTGCGATTTGTTATATATTTTTTATAGTGGAAACAAGCTTGTTTCCTGTAGACAATCTCCTGATACATATCCTTAAGAATGAGTTGCACTGATTTACTTGCAGCCTAATTCTTCTGTGCAAACATATCAAGTGTTCATGCATATTTACATGGATATATGTATTTACATGAATGCAAGTTTCTTTACCATTTTTATTAAATATGTTCATTTTATGTTGATACACATCTATGATTGTACTGGCTTATCTTTGCAACAGGTTTCCTAAAAAAATCTTTTTTGAGTAAATTTTAAAGCTTTTTTTTATGAAAATTTTAGGTATTTCTTCCTGTAATCTTAGCATTGGGAAGTAAAATAAATTTAATAAATTTATTCAAACCAGTTTTTTTGAGAAAGCCCTTCACGAAGGCTATTCTCCCATTAGACAAGCAAGTCTTCAAGTGCTTTCTTTGCCTTAATTAAATGAACCAGACATGAGTAAAAAATTTCAAAATTTACATCATTTATTTAAATGTAGATGTTATAAATACATGCAGCATGTTTAAGAAAAGAAAAACAAATACACTTACACATTTATTAAAAAAGCATTTAATGCTATTTGTTTTTTTTTTTTTTTTTTGCTACACAAATATCATCAAAAACTGAAAGATCTGTAAGTTCTCTTTTCTATATTTTATCAACTTTTAGAAGTTGTCAATGAACACAATCACTTCTTTCAATATTAATACCTCAAAAAGCTTTATTTCTAATTGTATCCATGAACCTGGAATCAGAATGCAGGAATACTTGAAGCTTCCATCAAATACCACTTATTAATTTCCATTGCTTGCTAAAACTGATGCTAAATTGTTCGGAAATTTGTGAACTTTGTTGTTAGGTGCTGTAGGTAAAGCAGGGAAGATCATCATTTTAGACTTTTAAATTTTTATATATATCTTAAATCTGATAATAAATTCTCTTGAAATCTTAATTTTCTCTCTTTAATATTACCTTACTAGCTAAAATAAAGCAGTGAAATTTTCACGAAGACTATGGTGTAACATTTTGAAATGGTATATTTTAAAATATTGCATATTTATGTTTAGTCTTGCTAGTATTTTATGCTTACTTTGTCAATCATGCCTCGCACATTTTTGTCAAGAATTTTCAGAAATTCCTAAAAGTATTTACATATAATTGAAGCTGATTATTTATTATTATTTCTATCTCATGAAAACTCTCAGTGTTTTGAATTCATTGGCTTTCTTCTTATAAGTAGAGGCAGTTTTTCTATTTTATATATATATATTATCAATAATTATAAAATGTGATAATCTTTTCCGAACCTTTTTAGTTCTACAACATTTTACGTATAAATGTGTTACTAAGGTTAGGAAATAGCATATCTTGGTAACAGGTGTATCGGAACTGAAAAATTCTTTTCAAATGTAGTTTTTCATTTATGATCTGTATCATCTTTATGCTTGATAACTCTTTCCCTCCATCATTTTTAATTTATCAAGACTATTCAATCTATTTGTAATCTTTTTTTTTAATACGCTTTAATGCAGTATCAATAATTTAATGCCATTACACTTTCGAAAGAAGGTGAAAGAAAATTGTTTGTTATACAGTCAAAAGTCGTTAATTCGGACACCCATAATCCGGAATGATCTATAATCCGAACCTCAAAGGTAAAATCTTTCTGGGCATGCGCCGCGTTGATGCATGCGCATAGGCGTTTACGTGTGCACGCAAGACCTTTACAACTGCGCATATGCGTCTGCGCAAGCGAAGAATACGTTTTCGCGTGCGCGTTTAATGTATAACGGACGGTATAAGCTAAAATTATCTAATTATCTATTTCAGTTAATGTTGATGATTGCGTTGTTCCTTAATCTTCGAATTGGATCCGTCTTATTATTTTTTGCAGACTGTAAGAGCAATTTTATAAAAGTAAGCTTGAACTTTCGATTATGTAAAATAGAATTTCCGATGCTGGAGCTAACAAAGGATCTACAAAACGAAAGTATGTTTCGATGTCCATCAAACAAAAAGTGGAATTGCTACAAAAAATGGATAAAGACATATCCTTTGCTTATCTAACCATTCCGAAATCTGTTTATCAATTTCATGTGGCTCTGCGCGGGGGGTGGGGGTGGGCAATGAACTGGAAGTTAATCTGTCAGAACTATCGTTATCTTCAGGGCAGATGTTTTTATTTTATTCGGCTTATAATTCCTTACTAAATGTAGTATTTTATCTCGATGTACTCCGTCTTTGATATGATTTAGATCAAATTCCTCGTCATTATAAATATTATGAATACAAATCAAATAGTTTTCTGGTTGCAATTTTCTAATTTCGGCTATGCGTAATGTATGCTTTACGCAGGCGCGCGTTGAAAGAAATGTTTAATAAAGTAAACAAATAAATATTAAGCTTCTTTTTTTCTTTTTTTGTAAATTTTAATAACCCTTTTAGAATATAATTGCTCATTTATTTCATAAATTACAGTTTCATATTTTTATTTCATAATTTCTTCAGCATGCCATCTTACCAGATTTAAACTGATGATCTATAATCTGGAAAATCCGGAAAAACCAATAATCCGGAATCGCCGAAGTCCCGACGAGTCCGGATTAAAGACTTTTGACTGTATATCATGATGGAGCTTATTAGTCTGTGTTTACAGAACCATAACTTTTTTATATGAATTTTGAGCCGTGGACATACTTTGCAGTTGAGATCTAACTTGGTTCTACCAGAACATTTCTTGTGGGGTTTCAGTAAATATGCACACTGCAACAAATCCTGAATGCTGTCCTGACTAAACATCATTTTTAGAGAGATTATGAAAGGTAGTTAGAAGCATTTAAGAAGGTGAAAGCATATATTGAAAGAGAGAGGAAAGATAATGATCACTAACAGCACTTTGGCAGTTTTTCTTGATATTTATTCATCATTTTCTATTCATATCTATTCATTTACTTTAACATATGAGTGTAGAATTAGCGATAAAAAGTATAGTATTAAAGTGTGAAAGTGTGATGTTACTGTATGGGGGTATTTTGTGCTGATATCTGCCATAATGTAATTAACTGTATTGTGATAAAAAAGTATGAGTGTTAAAGTATGAAAGTGTGATGTTACTGAATGGGCGGGGGGTATTTTGTGCTGGTAATCTGCCATAATGTAGTTAATTGAAAAAATTTAGATAAAATTCCACAAGTTTCAATTGTTCAATCTCTGTTACTGATTACATTGCAAACTGAATATCAACCTGTATGTGAATTTTTATCTTGAGAAATGCTATGATGTTATAATACACTCTGAAGAAATAAATCGGCTACTTCATAGAAATGACACACAAATCAGCTACTGCCACAAAAAATGAAAATTTAAATATATAAAAATATAAAATTATATTAGTTTTATTGATGCATTCATTAGCTAAACATCATTTCAAGATATTAACGTAGTAAAATAAGAGGAAAAAATATTTTGACAATGAAAAATACGAAAAGGAAAAATTCATAAAGCTTGCTGAAAGTTTTCTTTAATATTCCTCATTTACATTTGCTTGTTTTTTTCAAACCACTTGCACTGCACATGCTTCATTACGAAGGTTTTACATATTATTTTCATATACCAAACAAAAACAATTTTTATAAATTATCATAATTATTTCTGCATTATACACACTGTAATCAAAGAACAATGTTCTTTGTACTTAAAATTAATAATACTTCTTTCATGTGTAAATGACTAACTAAAATGAATAAATTTTGTTACATTCTGGCAAATGAATGTTCTCTACCAACATATATTATTTACAGCTATTTTAAACTTCTGATTCAGCGTCTCCTTTCTTTCCCCCTCTCCCCCCCTTTTAAAATCAAGTACATTTTTTTTTATTTTAATCAGGCCTAATGCTAAAATATATAGGTACTATTCCATTTTGAGGACTGTAAAAAAATTGCAGTGAAAATGCATGCGCGAAAGCGCCAAATCTAGCAAACGTGCCTATTTAACAGCGCGCCAAATCTAGCATACATGCTGGTTTCAGATTGGGTATGTTTATATAGTTCTATATTTCCTAAGAC